GGGGCCTAGCAACCAGCTTCCAAGGAACATCATCAACAAACATGCAGCTGGGAAGAATGATTCTAAACAAGTCCACCTTCAGAAACACCAACACACAGAGAAAGCAATAAGCAACGAAGGAGGAAAATCAGAGCTCAAAGCTAGAACAAGAGCAAGTGCAGCTAGTCGTGTCCAGAGTAGAGGCAAAGTGAGCAAAACCCAATAATACTCACGACGAAAAAAAGAGAGGAAGATATGGTGGTTCACAGAAAATTCAAACCCTGTAACGAAGAGAGATGTTTCAGTTCTCTCACCAATCCTGTTGTTTGCCTTTAATAAGACATATATGTGTAGGTTGTTGCATTGTTTTGTTTTGCCGATATATGTTTTTTGTAGATGCTGTCCCAAATAAGTTATCTGCACGGTTCTCCGTTGGAACCCTGTTATATAATACGTACCCTGTTCTTCACACATTTCCTTCTAACACAAAACGAGCATAACCTGACCTGCATGTTCAACACAGGAGCCGTCAACAGGGTGAATCTGAGTAAAAACACCCTGATTAATAATCAATCTTTAGCATTGAAAAGCACACATAATTTATGAAATACTAATCAGCTTTTCCGAGGAAAAGAAACGCTCATGGTAGAGGACAAAGCGGTTGATGACAAAACCGGAGTGTCTAAGGTTGCCAGTATTGTTTCTATTTTGCTTGCTAAGAAAAAGTCCTGCTACTTTCAAATGCTCACATGATTCTTTTACAAAACAACAGATTGCAATCATTCAAAATCTGTCATTTTCTACTACTACAAACTCTTTATAAACCACTTATTAAGAAACTATTTGTACATCAGGAAAGGAGTTATTAGAAAAGAACAGAAATGAACCTGTTCTGATTTCTTTCCTATCTTATCAACACATTAGAATACCGTGCTGGAAAATTATAGCAGAGAAATAACACAACCAAAAGATTAGAGACAAGTCCTAACTAGAGCAATTCAACCGCTACCTTTATCAGCCCTTGAAATAACAAGATGCGATTGGTCCTGGAAAATGGAAAGATGGTAAATTTATCAATTGATCTCTAGATAATCATTGCAGAGTATTAAACTTAATGCGGCGTAATCAATGGGAACAGAACAGAACAGAGACAGTTTAGCTGGCAACTTTCCAGAAGAGGAAGACCCTCATGTTGTTGTTATTCTCAGGTCGCTTTCGACCTTGTAATCTCCAATCCATCATAATGCACGTATGAGCAATAAACAGATAGACGAAAACGAAAGATGGGCCATCTCAACCTAATTTTGTGACCCACAAAACGTGAGATACATGAGAATGTTGCTTGGTAAAAGCATAAAACACTGAACTTGGTCTACCAATTTCACCTTTAGGAATATTGAAGGACCAGATGAGTTCAACGAGTAAAGGCGAAGAACCGAGCACTTGTATCAACAATAGCATGTGCAGCTTTCTTTCCTAGTTGACAATGACATCAACGAACGGTTAGTAAAAGCATTTAGACAACCAAAGAGAAACCAACAGTGTCTTAGTACAACAAACAACCACCAATCGTTATTGAATATAGAGAAAAAAATTCAGTCCTAGCCTCACTCACTTTCAGATCTGAATGTTACATTGAAATCCCGAGAACATAGTTATGATAAGATACCACAATGGAAGCACAAGGGACTAGCTATCACTAAAATGTCCCACATCGGAAAAAGGAGCATATAGTCAATGGCTTAATAAGTTCAAGGGCACCCTCTCCTCAAAAGGGTGAGTCCAACCCATCTAACCACTTGAAAAGTTTGAGAAAGCGTTGAGAATCACCAAGGCATCATGAGACCCGGACGGACAAGAAAACAGCAAGAATTTAAGCCTTCTCCCTCTCACTAAGTCATTATGCTATCACCTTCAGCCTACAGTCTCTCTTGAAGAAGTCGGGTTCTGGTGTCCAAGGTATTTTCCCCGGGACTAATGGTTTCGGAAATACAGAGGACATAGTTTACATGGAAAATGCTGAAGTAAAACAATAATAAGTAGAACATAAACATCACCTGGTGGTTTCAAGCTGCAGAGCTGAAGAAGAAAAGTAGAAACAATGGCACTGAAGATGTGAACGTCCAGGAGTTAAAACAAGCTGCAACGAATCAGAGTCTGACTAGAGATATGCAACTGTATCTTTCTAGATTTGGTTACTTGTAATAATGAGGACAACAAGATAAGATAAGCATAATATCATAAGATGATCAGAACCATTGTACAAGCTATACCATATAAAGTATAAACCATCACTAAACAGGCAGTTAGATACAAGAAAGAAAAACAATGGAAACTTCACTAGCTCTCTCACTAGGAAGGGTTGTAAAAGTGTTCGATGAGCAAGAAAGAATGCAGCAAAACATAAAAGATAAGAAACACTTATCCTCTGCTGATCACATGTCACTGATCAAATCTATAGATTAACGTAAGAATCGTCATTAGGAACCCAGAAATCTAGAACAAGCAAAACAACAAATATTGTAATGAAAAATTTGTTGTCTTCATTTCTGACTTGTGTTCAAGCCACTAACTATATCACTCGCCAAAAGAGTATCTCTTTGAGTCTCAACTACCAAACGACAACGGTATCTGACAAGCACGAGTTTCTTCGTACTGATGATTTAAAATTCCGTTTTATTTAATTTTACTCTAAACAGAAAAAAAAACACATAAAAAGCTAAAGAGGTTCTCTGTTTATTCACAGCCACACACCGAACACACCTTTGCTTTATCCCAATTCAGGGAAACAAAACAAATATTCATCTCTTCAATTTTTGTTCTGTCTGGTCTCATGAAATTGAGCAGGAATTCGATAATTTGACAGGAAATAGTGCGTACCATGCTTCTCGGTGGCACAATCTCCACTTCTCCGGCTTCTCTCCGGTTAAGATCCACCTTAAACCCACAAAACGCAGTCACACAGTCATCATCGCAAGCGGCGTTTCCGGCGGCGATGCAACGACAGCCGGCGAGCTACTCAATCACCGACGAAGATCTCGAATCTAGAGGCTTTCTTCTCCGTCGGACGGCGGAAGGACTTAACCTAGATAAGCTGAATTCGGTGTTTGTAGCCGTGGGGTTTCCACGGCGAGACACGGCGAAGATCAAGGTGGCGCTGGAGCACACAGACGCGCTTTTGTGGGTTGAGTACGAGAAAACGCGACAGCCGGTGGCGTTTGCTAGAGCGACGGGAGACGGCGTTTTCAACGCAATTATATGGGACGTTGTGGTTGATCCTTCGTTCCAAAGCTTAGGGCTTGGTAAGGCGGTGATGGAGAGGTTGATCGAGGATTTGCAGGGGAAAGGGATCTGTAACATTGCTCTGTATTCGGAGCCTCGAGTTCTCGGGTTTTATCGCCCGCTCGGGTTCGTCTCTGACCCGGATGGGATCCGAGGAATGGTTTTTATTCGTAAACACAAAAACAAGAATTGATATAACTTATTTCCCCCTTAACATTATTAAATTTCACAGATTGATTACAATGTCTCTTTTAACTACTACACTTGTACGATCTTCAAATCGAAAGATTTTGCTTTTAAAGTAGATTTTCGATTACTTGATTTTGATGGTCAAGAAGCGGCTATGGCATGGTGGAAGAAGGCGACGGAGCAGAGGATGGAAGCGATGAGTGCGAAGAAACCTAATCCGATCATCAGAGAGATTCCGGCGACGATTAGATCCATCGCCGTCTGGAAGCTTATTAGCATCATCAACACCATCTTCGTCTTATTCTTCTCTCTTGATTAAGAGATTTTCGTGTTTGGGGATAATTTACAAATGAAATGATTCGAACAAGAAGAAGAAGTGAAGCCTTGCTTTGACACGTTTATGACATTTAGCGCAATTTCAGAGATCCTCGTGTATACACATTATACAGACATATATCGAAACATACACGTTGAGGAGATTTACATTAAATGTGTGACTTTCTCATGTTATCTGGTCGTTATCGTTATGTATCTTCTAAAGTACAGTTTTTCTACTTTCTTGGAAAGTGGCTTCGAGTTCTGGGCATAATTTGAGGAAATCTTGCCGAGTTTCTGTCAGGGAACATGGAGGAAGTAGCTGGAGAAGTAGGCAATGGTGGGTTAATGATTGGTCTGGGTTTGATTTCTTTGATCTCAACTATAACAGCATCTGATGTCAGAAACGTGTTAGCCACTGATGCAGCGTGTTCTAAGCAACATCTCACAACCTGTGCATCAGTTCTCGCACAAAAAGTTTAATGAGAAGCTAAAACAGACATCAAAGTTAGCTCACAAAACAGGTGAATCCGTGAGATGACTTAGCCCTGTTGTTGTTACCTTGGTCGGATCGATAATACCAGCCAACATCAGATCTTCGTACTGATTCTTTGCAGCATTGTAACCGTACATCGTGTTTTCGCTTGATAAGACCTGCAGGTTTCAGAGTAAGTTACTGGAAGTTATGGTTGGGTCTACAGAGCTGACATTATCAAATACCTTTTGTATGACGATATTGCCATTTGCGCCTGCGTTTTTTGCTAGAAGTCTTATGGGGTAGCTCAATGCTTTCTTGAATATTTCGGCTCCAATCTGGTCATACAGTGTTGCAAGAAAAAAATATCACATTCACAACTTTTGGGATGTTTTAAGAAATGTAAAAAGCTCGATTGTGATGTTCAACTTCAATACCCTCGAAACGAGTACCTTCTGTTCTTTGTTGTCAAGGGTGTCTTTGATTTTTTCCACTTTTGCAGCCAGTCGCAAGAGTGCGCAGCCACCACCAACTACAATCCCTTGTTCAATTGCTGACTAAATTCTGAGAGATCAGGTTTCTTGGACTGACAATTTCTGAACCACATGGTTTGACTGGAGTTACCTTAGTTGCGTTCAGGGCATCTTCAACCTTTAGCTGTTTATCCTTCAACTCAACCTGGGTCTGTGCACCTACCTAAAGCCTTTGGAAGTTAGTTAGTACTTCAACATCAGATTGTTTTTTGGTATCAGTGCATTACAAAGTCACCTGGATTATAGCAATTCCACCGGATAATCTGGCTATTCTTTCATTGAGGATCTTCTTCTGAAAGCTTCCCTCAGTGTTCTGAATACACATAAAGATTATATGGGAAAACATGAGCATCATATATGGTGATTATAGATGCTCCAGTCAAATAGGTCACTTGGTTAATGTAATGAGAAGACGAGGATGATAAAAGGACCTGGATGAGTTTTTCAATCTGAGAAACCCTTTCCTCTACTGCTTTTTGGGTGTCTCCATTAGTAACAATCAATGTTGAATCCTTAGTTACAAGAATCCTTGTTGCTGTTCCTAAGACCTCTTTTCCAGCTTTCTCTAAGCTTAGGCCCATCTCATCTCTGATCACCGTAGCTACGCAGAGAGAATAACCCAGTGATTCAGTACTTAAAGCAAAAGTGTAATATGCTATACTCTTGTGTGAAGATGGAGCATGACTACCTCCAGTTAAGATTGCAAGATCATCCAAATAGTGGCTCTTGCGCTCCCCAAAGGCAGGAGCTTTTATGGCTACTGCCTTCAGGTTACCTTTTAGTTTGTTCCTAATTACAGGAGCAAGTGCGTCTTGCTCGATCTCTTCAGCAACTATAAGAACTGGATAGTCCTCTTTAACAGCAGAATCCAATATCTTGAACATATCTTTTGGATTTGTTATTTTCTTATCAACCAAGAGCAGCTACAATAAAAAAAATCAATGCAGGTATACTCTTAGCCATTGCATTGCCAAGACAATGGGAAAAACAAATGAGAGGTCTTGGTTCTGACCTTGCAATCATGATATTCAACTTCTCTCTTCCTTCGATCAGTGACAAAGTAAGGCGATAAATAACCACGATTAAACTGCATTCCTTCCACAATATGAAGATTGTTCACAAGGTATTTTCCTTTCTCTATTGTTACTACACCAGCCCTTCCTACTTGTTGAAAAGCACTGGAAATCATGTTTCCCACTTCGTAGTCATTCCCCGCACTAACTGCTGCTACATCAGCAAGCTCATGATCCTCCATCTGTAAACACGAGGTTTGCTATTTGCTCTTATTAAGGCTGGCTAATTATAACTCCATTCTCATCATGAGTAGTCTCAAGGGTAAAAGGCAGATGGATCTTTCACCTCTCTGGACATTGACTTGAGCTCTAAAACAAGAGCTTTTGCGGTTTTCTCAATACCACGGGCAACCTGGATGGGATTAGTTCCAGAAGAAACCACCTAAAGAGAAGGCATGTGAGATCAATGGTTCACAACTAGAAGCGCACATTATCTAATTAGGCATTCATATATAATGAGAATGCATGTATACCTTAATACCTTCAGTAATTAGGCCATGAGCAAGCACTATAGATGTAGTAGAACCATCACCCGCAAGGTCATTAGTCTTCGCACCCGCTTGCCTCACAAGTTTCACTCCAACATTCTCTAACGGGTCCTCCAATTCAATCTACACCACACAATAAAAGCTTATTATTATGGTTTTGGCATTTCATTGAGCATAATCGTCCGATAAAGGTAGAGAAAATAAGAGGAAAACTGAGAAACCTCTTTAAGAACAGTTTCACCGTCATTGACGATCCTGGGAGGTCCGTACTTGTTCTGCAACACCACGTTCCGTCCCTTTGGACCCAATGTCACGCCCAATAGCTTCGCCACCATATCTGCACCTGCCTGCACCAAACTTCACCACCATTTTTCACATAAGAATACAAAATTCTCGAAAGTTTCACAAAAAGAAGAAGGAGAAAACCTGAAGCTTCTTGGTGACAGAGCCATCACGGTTGAAATGAACCTCTTTTGCAGCGGCTCTTGCTCTCAGAACGAAATTCGAAGACGAGAACTGCAAAGAAGATGAAGAAGGAGGAGGCTTTGTGCGAAAATTCCGATCAGAAAGTGGAAACGCAGAGAGTGAAGAAGCCATTGCCGTTAGAAACGAACGAGCAAGGACTACAAAAAAAGTATCAGCTTGTCTGGGAGTGAGCAAAATATAAGGTGGGAAAAAGATCTCATATCTCTTCCGATACTGTGTCTGTCGTTGTTCTGAATTCCAATTTTGTTGGGCCCAGCCCAGCCGAAAGAATCCCAATTAGGGCCGGAGAAACAAC